CTCGCCAAGCACAGGAGGACCCCGCCTTCGAATATATATATATATATATATCGTCAAATAGAACTGCCCGGTAAACCGTAGGCAGAGAGGGAGAAGAGGACAACAAATATATATATATATATATAGTCACAAACAGAACTGCCCGGTAAAACCGTAGGCAGAGAGAGAGAAGAGGACAACAAACGAGGGGCTGTGACAAACTGTTTCGTCGGAGTTTCACCGACTCATCAGGAGGCTTATATTTCTGGGCAGTTTTTTCGCCCGCCCGGTTTGCCCGGACGACCCGCCCGGGCCCCGCCCGGCTGGGCGGCGTCCGTACTCAGACACACACAAAAAAAAAAAGCCGCATTGGCGCTTTGGCCAAAGCTTGGGGCGCAGTTCTACTCCGCCTTGGCAAAAACAGACGCTTGGCCCAAAATATGCCAGTAATGGACAACAGCAGGCGCTCATCTGTCTGAAGTAATCATTTGAAAGAACCATTTGACTCAACGGAGCAGAAAGGGGTAGTTAAATACCAAATAGACACCTTAGGGCCTCCTTTTCCTGAAAGCAGAGGGGTGCAGTAGACCCAGATTATCCACTGGGACGGCCAGAAACCAGTAGAGTACCAGGTCTCGTTGGGCCCCACAGATGAAGTCCGCATGTACTGGTGGTTTCAAGTTTTGGCAGTTGACCTCCCCCCCATCCCCCCCACAACTGCTCCCCTCCCCCTCCCCGTCCCTCTTTGTGATAGTTGGTTGGCTTACCTCGGATGTCCTTTGACAGAGGCTTCTCAGTTGGCCCATGGTGGATGTGTACATAAGAGTCCAATTTGTCTATGTAAGGTAAACCTGCACAGTTGGGGACAAATCCATTAGCGACTCTCAGCCTTGCCCCGAAATGTGTACAAGCAACCAGAGTCACAAGCAACGTTTAGCCTCTTGCATTACACATTTGTACGACAGTCGCGGCAGAGCTGATGCTGAGAAAAGTTCCAGCGAAAGGTTCAGCCAAACTGTGACAGTCAGTCCTCCTCCCCTACGGATCTAAGGGGGGGTAGTTGATGCTGGTCAGGGTTCCTTCAGCCTGGACGGAAGGAAAAAAGAAGTGTGCACTCGGAAGAAGAAGAAGAAGAAGAAGAAGAAGAAGAAGAAGAAGAAGAAGAAGAAGAAGAAGGAACAAGCGAGAAGAAGAACAAGGAAGAGGAGGGAGAAGAGGAGGGAGAAGAAGAAGAAGAAGAAGAAGAAGAAACAACACCAAATTGAGACAACAACATGATCCTGCATTTCCCAAAAGAAAAAAAAGAAAAAAAAGAAGAAAAAAAAGATTTCAAAAAGCCCAAAAAGAACATGACCATGCACAGAAAAAACAAAACACAGTTTTGGTAATTTGGAGTTTTCTGAACTTTTCAGACTTTCCTCAGTCAAGAGTCAAGACCAAGACTTCGGTATTTTATTTTTAGTATTCTTTACTGACGCAAAAAAGAAGAAGTGTTCAATAAGCATCAGTGCTGGTCCCCGGTTGGACCGGGGGCCCTTCCCCCAACCGGGAGCCTGCCGGTCGGACCGGCCGGTCGACCGGCCCGGCAGGCCCCCGGTCAAGTCCAGCGCATCATGCTGGGGGGGGGGTACTGGGGATCGACGGGCGTTACTGCATTTGCCGAGCCCTTGGGAGGCTAGTGTCCTCTTCGAAAAACTTCCACGTGTTTTAGTCAAAACACGGGGTCCTGTTTCTATATGGATTTTACTAGTTTCAGATTGATACTGCAGTCTAAGAGACCACAAACCCGCTACAGTAGGCAGGTGTTCATCCTCGACAGAAGTGGAGAGGAGGATAGGAACAGCATGATTTAGCCCAGGCTTTGCTGTGTTTATATGCTTCTCAGACATCCCTATTCTGTGGGGAAAAAGTTATGGGTTGAGGTTTCTGCTCGTAAAATCAGAGTAGCAGTCCGAGGTGCAAGCCCAAGAATGAACCTTGCTCCACTACATGTATCTGGACAGCGCACAACGCGAAATACTTTCGGACTGATGACCCACTGTATAAAGGAAAAACAAAAGGAAAGCGGACTGATGACTTACCATATAAGGGAAAAACAAAAGGAAGCTCTCTCCCTGCACAAGCTGAAACCTCAACCCATAACTTTTCCAGTTTAGAGCTCGGTATCCCGAAGAGGTATAACTTTTGCACGGAACATGAATATGGACGAAGCACAGAAATCCAGAATGCAAAATCACACTGAAGTCCAAGTAGTCAAAGCCAAAGCAGATAGCACAATGGAACCG